GGTATTGGAAAGTGCAAGTTACCGTCCACGCCCCCTAAGCACCGGCTGAAGCAGAATTCAACATTTAACATGAACTGGTACAATTTTGAATTTTGAAACATTCGCAGATATGTTCATATGGCGGTTATCATGGAACTTTCAATGTGATACGTAAGTGCCATTCAATAAAAAGTAGCATATGGTCCCCAGGTAAAACTTCTTTCAACGAAGTGCATCGTCGAATACCCACGGCCGAACCATTAACATTTATCAGCATGTTATGTAACATGTTTATCAATCGTGGGTATCCGACGATGAAAGAAGTGGGGCTTTGCATTTGTCTGTTTGTCCATCTGTCCGTAGAGCAAATGGTTTCGGAGCGATAACTAGAGAACGCTTAGGCTTAGGAACTTCAAACTTAGTATGGTGATTGTTCATGACAAGAAAGCGACCCCTATCAATTTTTGGTTCATGAGATCAAAGGACAAGGTCACATTGACCTTGTAGGTAAAAATTATTTCTGATGAATACCTAAAGAACGCTTAGGCCTAAGAACTTCAAACTTGGTATGGTAATTGGTCATCACCAGCAGATGAACCCGTTTGATTTTGGGATTAAGGGGTCAAAAGTCAAGGTCACATTGACCTTCTAGGTAAAAGCTTTTTCTGATCAAAAACTTGAGAACGCTTAGTCCTAGGAATTTTTAACTTGGTATGGTGATTGTTCATGAACGGCTCATGCTCCCTATTGATTTTGGGGTCAATGGGTCAAAGGTCAAAGTCAAATTGACCTTGTAGGTAAAAACGGTTTCCAGTCAATAACTTGATAACCCGTAGGCTGTTGGCCTTCAAACTTCATAGGTGCATTATATCTGACCAGTAGAGAACCCATATAGATTTTAATATCAAGGGGTTAAAGATCAATTTCAAATTCAAATTGACCTTGTAGGCAAAAACGGTTTCCGATCAATAACTTGACAAGCTATCGGCTTTTGACCATCAAAATTTTTAGGTACATTGGTCTTGGCCAGAAGATGACCCCTATTTATTTTTTGGTAGGAGGGTCAAAGGTCAAGGTCGCAGTGACCTTTTATGTCAAAACAGATTTCTATCAATAACTGGACAACCCATGGACCCTTGACTTCCAAGCTTTACAGATGCATCGCTTTTGGTCAAAAGATAAATTCAGTGGATTTTTGAGGTTAAGGGGTCAGAGGTCAAGATCATATTGACCTTATAGGTAAAAATATTTCTGGTCATATCCCAACAACTCATGGTCCCTTTACCTTCAAGTTTAATAGGTGCATTGGTCTTTGCCAGTAGATAACCCCTATTGATGAAAAGGTCAAAGGTCAATGTCATATTGACCTTGTTTGTAAAGAAAGTTTTTGACCATAAACTTAACAACTCAAGTTACCTTGGTTGATATTTTTTTATATTAAACTAAATATGCTTTTCAAATTTGGTATACACATTTCAAGGTCTTATATAATATGTATAACAAATTGGCTGTCATTAAAAAGGCCTACATGATTCATAAAAATTTAATTTATGCATTTGTTATTTGGTAAGATTTGTGGTAACTTTGTCATAATTGCTGCACACAACCTTTTCGGTCACAATTTCCTAATGAGTAGTCATGACCAGTAACCCTTATTGATTTTTTTGGTCACTAGGTCAAAAGTCAGTAATAATAAATAACCTGATCACATGACTAACGGACTGTCGATAGGGGGCATACACGTTTTACAAACATATCTTGTTCAATTTACCTTCTCCATAGCTAACTAAATTAAAAATATCAGCTATCTTTATTTTTTTGGAAACATATGAACAAATTCCACCAAATATGATGTGGCATTTTTCCTACACACAGTAATAAGAAACTAAAATACCACAGGAATGAGATATTTGTGTTCAATTGCCACATTAAATCAAATACAACTTTATCACTCAATATATTTAAAAAAGTTCTAATAGTTAACATCTATCCCTAGTACTTGACATGAAGGATAAATTTAAAAAAAAAAACCCATCAAATTTCACAAAATAACAAAACAGCCATATTACTTTCCCTATGAATCCTGAAGGCAAAATAAGGTACAACAATTAATATATGTATTTAAAAAGCAACAGCAAGATAAAAGAAATTCAACCTTAATAGTTCTAATATCATATCTATTAACAGCTCTTACTTTGCAACACAATAAATAAAATCCCCTGTTCTTTCATTAAATAATAATCAGATGGTAGCATTTTTCCTTTAACCCATTACTTCATATACACGCCTTTTAACGCCTTTTTCACCCCCCCCCCCTTTTTGTTGTCTCAAATGGTGAAAAAATGCATTATTTAGGCCCTTAACACTTGTTTTTGTTTGAGAAATGTTGTTAAAAAAGTGACCACTTTTTCGGCGCGGCCCCCCAACCAAAAGATACATCAGGGGGTTGCCAGAAGGGGGATGTGCCCCCTTCTGTTTGGGGGTTTGAAGGGGGGCGGAGTCCCCCTCATCGCCAAGAAAATTTTGGACTTGTGAGAGGCTATAAATGACCCCAGATTGATCATAAGGTAACGTGTAACCAACGCTGAAAAGCATTTGACTCTATCTCAATCCATTGAGAAGTTGCAGCACTTTGAAATCAATTTTGATGGAAAAAATCAACGCAAAATAGTGATTTTTGGCAATTTTGAGATGTCCCCTCGTTGCCATGGTAACAGAAAATTTAAGCCTGAGCATGTTGTTGCAAGGGCAATGGTCCAGTCAACATTTGTGCCAAGTTTGATTAGTGTTGAAGCAGTTTTTATAGTATTATAGCAATTTGAACTTGTAACGGGAGACTTTTCAATGAAAACAGCCATTTTTCACAAAATGCTCATGAAGTAATGGGTTAATGAAAAAGATCAAAAAATCTACAAAACAACAATTTTTCTTCAAATTTATATGACAGGCCATGTTTAAACATGGAAAAACGCGATTTAGAGTAATTTCAAGTATTTTCATCATTTTCTGTTAACCCATTACTTCATATACACGCCTTTTAACGCCTTTTTCACCCCCCCCCTTTTTGTTGTCTCAAATGGTGAAAAATGCATTATTTAGGCCCTTAACACTTGTTTTTGTTTAAAAAATGTTGTTAAAAAAGTGACCACTTTTTCGGCGCGACCCCCCAACCAAAAGATACATCAGGGGGTTGCCAGAAGGGGGATGTACCCCCTTCTGTTTGGGGGGTTTGATGGGGGGCGGCGTCCCCCTCATCGCCAAGAAAATTTTGGACTTGTGAGAGGCTATAAATGACCCCAGATTGATCATAAGGTAACGTGTAACCAACGCTGAAAAGCATTTGACTCTATCTCAATCCATTGAGAAGTTGCAGCACTTTGAAATCAATTATGATGGAAAAAATCAACGCAAAATAGTGATTTTTGGCAATTTTGAGATGTCCCCTCGTTGCCATGGTAACAGAAAATTTACGCCTGAGCATGTTGTTGCAAGGGCAATGGTCCAGTCAACATTTGTGCCAAGTTTGATTAGTGTTGAAGCAGTTTTTATAGTATTATAGCAATTTGAACTTGTAACGGGAGACTTTTCAATGAAAACAGCCATTTTTCACAAAATGCTCATGAAGTAATGGGTTAATGACCTATGAAATTAAGCAAAATCACTAAAATTATAATATGCACTTATTTTGGAAATCTACAGTCCAAGGGAGGTAACTGGATGTATCTCAAACTTGCGAATTCATGACACACGATTTAATAATTTAAGATTTAAGCTGTACAATCAAGTTTTACATATCTTAATATTACGGATGATAGAAATACAATATTCTACACCTTAACTAATCAATTAAGTGGTTAAAAAGTGTAATTTACAATGTATCTCATTAATATTGTTGATAAATGGAAAGTATCTTTATAATTTCTTTATTTTTCAACTCATAGAAAAAGTCTATTTTAGCTTTTTTAGTAATTTTCTTTCAAATTAAGTTAATATTCATACTCACGTATAACTAGATTGAGAATAAATATGTTTTAGGCTGAAATGCAGTCGGGGACATTCTATGTGCTCAGCCCGGTTAACTTACTGGCCAAGAGGGGACAACAGTAAATGTCTTTGACACCTCGAGGGTGCCTTGCATTATCAGAGAGGACGTTACATTACATTGCATGTTACGTAGCAATCCTGGATCCATGACTTCCATAGCTAACAATAACTTTCCATAATTACCAGTGAATCTACCATTGAATTGCATAGCCAGGAAACTATTGACTTTGTATAATAGCAACCTGTGACTTCTTTTGTAACTATTGTTGTCCCTTAATTATAAGTAGCAACCAGTGATGTTTTTACACATGTACTTTTGTATTTCAGATATAAATATAAACTTTGTGATACACTTTCAGAATTAGATTTAATATATTTGCTTCTTTTCACAATACTGTTTGTTCCTTGTCATTTAGTGTATTTATATTCAGGAGAGCGATATTAGGGCAATCATAGCCCTCTTGTTTTTCATATTATATGGCTAATATAAAATTTGGACTTTTCAAAACCTGTCACAATTCTCCCTAGAAAACTGCTGTAATGAATGATGTGAATTTTGATATCACAAATTCAAAATTGTACCAGTTCATGTTAAATGTTGAATTATGCTTCAGCCGGTGCTAGGGGGCGTGGACGGCAGTTTGCACTTAACAGTACCGTCCATAAACAGGCTCAATCAAACCAAGCCCGCAACATTTTCAATTGTGCCGGATTTCATTTGGGGTTCTTTTTTCTCTATTTTATTAACATGCTTACATGGTATTGAAAAAAAAGAAACTATATTACAGTAAATATTGCACAAAAATAAGCTATGAAATCTTTACTAAATTCACAGGATATAAACATGTATTAAAGCATAATATAATGTCATACAATTTTATAAATATATGTAAGTATGTTAGTTCAAAATGATTCTTACATTGGTTATTGTAAGATTGTTATTTTAAAACTTTGTTGTTTTGTATTTTCAGCATTATGTGTACTCCTTCTTCCAAAAAATTGGCAGATTCACAAGAGACTTCAATTAATCCAAGAACTGGCATTTATGAGGAATTTTCTGTGGTTATGATACGAATACAATCATCCTCAACCAACATAATGAGTCACATCGCATTCATGAAATTTTGCATGTATACAAATACTGAAGTCACCTAGTGTAATGACGTCCACCAACTTGTTGAAGATACTGGTAAAATATATAATAGTTGATATTAACATTTCTCTTCAAAACTCAAGACTCAAATGAGTACCTGACACTTAGTTATTGCCAGAGAGTTGCAGTCATTGTATTGTTTAAAACTTGGATATACAACTCAGACAATTCAAGGCATGAAAATAGCCTACTCGTGCAATATTGCATTATATTAACTCTCAGGAAAATTTATTTAGTGAATGTATACATAGATATTTGTATAGAATTTTTACTGTATAGTATGTGCATTATTTATATCCATGTTTAATATGTAAACATACATTTATGTAATATAGAACTGCTAGTCAATATTTGTACAAAAATACTTTCAAGAAGAAACATTATGTCCAACCAAGTGTATGAAATAGGTTGGTGAGTGAGTTTTATTTTAAAAGATATACGGTCATTTCAGCTCAAATTGACAATGAAAAAATTATGTCACTTAAAAAATGTACATGAATGTCCACTTAAATATGATAAATTATAATTTTGCGTTATCTTTGAAATCATAGTAAATGCTTATCAGTTGTTAATGAAATAAATCACTGTTATAATTACAAATAACATATAGCAGTATATAATTTTTTAAGACAAAGTGAATTAAGATTTATTTTCATTCATATGTTGAAGTTTTTAATATAGATCTGTGACTAGTATTATACAACAGCTTATCAAGTTGTGTTTCTATTCAAAGTTACAAAAGTATTGTTTTCTAATATGTTTTTGCTCACCTTTTATTTTTTAGAAAAAAGAGGTACTGTTACAGTCATGTAGGCGTTGTCGTCCGCAAACTTGTACCTTGATCAGAACTTTTAAATTTCTTAGTGTATTGTCTTCAGGGCTACAGATAGCATTTTGTTTATATATATCGGGTGATTACCCCTAGTTTTGTGATCTATTGGGTTTTTTATATTTTTAACCAGGTTTTCAATTTTGAAAATCCTGGTTATTAGATTGGGGTATGGCGGGCGGATGGGCGGATGGGCGGATGGGCGGCTGGGCGGATGGGCGGCTGGGCGGATGGGCGGGCGGGCGTCAAACGAAATTGTGTCCGCTCTGTAACTCTTCAACCCTTTGAAGAATTTTGATGAAACTTCAGACAAATGTTTACCACATCAAGATGACGTGCAGAACGCATGTTCCGCATGGCTGGCTCCAAGGTCAAGGTCACAGTGACATTAACATTGAAAATCCTGTCCGCTCTGTAACTCTTCAACCCTTTGAAGAATTTTGATGAAACTTCAGACAAATGTTTACCACATCAAGATGACGTGCAGAACGCATGTTCCGCATGGCTGGCTCCAAGGTCAAGGTCACAGTGACATTAACATTGAAAATCCTGTCCGCTCTGTAACTCTTCAACCCTTTGAAGAATTTTGATGAAACTTCAGACAAATGTTTACCACATCAAGATGACGTGCAGAACGCATGTTCCGCATGGCTGGCTCCAAGGTCAAGGTCACAGTGCAGAACGCATGTTCCGCATGGCTGGCTCCAAGGTCAAGGTCACAGTGACATTAACATTGAAAATCCTGTTTACATGATTTTAACTTGATTTGGCAGTCAAAGGTCATATCATCTTTGGAGGTAATTTAAAAAAGATATGATATATTATTTCATGTCTACTTTGTAACTTGTTTTTCATTATACAGAATTATCAATATAATTATAGTGAACAAATTCTTCTGTGCTGAACTCGTCCTACATTTCTCAACGGATTTTGTTCAAACTTTCACAGAAGCTTTGTCATCAAGCACCCTGGCACATATTGTCGGGGTTTTGTGATTGGATAGTTTTTGACCTAATTATGGCCCTTTGTTTTTTTCCTTATACATAATATTATAGTGAACACTTCTTCAGTGGCAATTCCTCCTACATTATTCATGTTTTACATTGCACATAGTTACATTGTTTGTTGCTTGTATTTGTATTTCAAATACAACATATTTATCTACAATGGTGATAATTGAAAACCTGGTTTCATGGCATTGCCATGTTTCTTGTCTTAGAGTTATTTCTGTATTTTTTACCCTACCATCTCTAACCAATTTGGGTTTTAAACCACAAGTTCATGTATTTTACCCAAAATTTCTGACCTTCATTGTAGACTGTTGTAGGTTTGTATGGTAATAAAAAAGCTACTTACTACTATGCTTTATGGTTTATTGGCCCAGGAGATTTCCAAGCTGCCTGATATGATTTAAAGGTTAAAACAGTCTGAAACAGTATGATCTGCCTGATGTACAGCATTAAGTATAACTTCCGTCTTTTCCCACCAGTTCCAATGTAGTTATAAATAAAAAATTATTTACTTTTTCTTACCCTTAGGTATTATTTCTATTGCTTTTTTTGACATTTTAATTGGGTAATTACGCAAATACGCATGTTATCTGCAGCTCTGGACTGACTCTTCATACTTGGCCACAACACCTCTAGATACACAACCTTTCAGTAGACTAGACTTACCTTGACCTTTGTTCATAAATGACATTGACCTTCAAGGTCAAATGTAAAAAAAGTTGCTTGTTTCTTGCTATAAGCTGGTGGCTATAACTTCAAACTTGAACATAATAATCTTTTAAGATAGCCCTTTCAGTTAACCAGACATACTTTGACCTTCACTCGTGAATGACCTAGACTTTGAAGGGCAAATTAATTATTTATTGCTGTAACTGACTGCAACTTTGTTAATATTGAAATGATTGACTTCATATTATTATTACTAAACATTCTTTAGGATAAGACCTTTCAAACTCAAATTAACCTTGGCTCTTTAATAACATTGGCCTTGAAGGCTAACTGATTTTTGCTATAATTTTATGTTACAATGTACTATGTAATTAATCCACAGATTTTTAGATTATTAAATTAAATAATTTACATATGGCCTTGACCTTTAGGTAACCTTGGCTGTCAAATGATTGATTGATTGAATGATTGACTTTTGATTATATTTTCTTAACATTGTCGTTTATTAATGGAAAAGATTCATACTAAGCTAACTAGACAGACCTATAAAATATATAAAAAGGAAATTACACTAAACTTCTTTTTTTAAGACTCAAGAGAAGTTTAAGCCGTTTATTTTGTTTGCTTTTAGAAACAGAAATGAGCTGGGGCACTTTAGACAGAAATATATGCAAAGATAGTTAAGAAATATATTTTGAAATAATTTAAAATCGTATTTTTCTTAGTCCGTTTGGAGTGAAAAGCGTTTAAACGCTTTTCATGTTGGGTCATTTATTTACAATGTGAATAATTATTCTGGAAAAACGAAGTGGGCGATTGATCTGAAATTTTGCAAAAAGATTAGAGGTCTAAACCTACATCAAATGGTACATTTATATGGAAAAGAATTTCAGTCCAATCATATTAAAAAAACCTCAGTGGAGTCCCTTTAATGTTTTTGTAGAATGTATGTATAATATTTATATTTGTGGGCATAGTTTAATGCAAGATTTGTATTTGTGTACATAGACAAATGTAATATTTGTATTTGTGTATTTAATTTTAATAAGATTTATATTTGTGTACATATTATTTACTATATTGTATAAGATTTGTGTTGTGTACATAATGATTTATAGAAGATTTGTATTTGTTTGCTTTATTTTCTTTAAGATTTGTATTTGTGTACATATTATTTGCTATATTGTATAACATTTGTGTTGTGTACATAATGATTTATAGAAGATTTGTATTTGTTTTCTTTATTTTATTTAATATTTTTATTTGTGTTCATATTATTTACTACATTGTATAAGATTTGTATTGTGTACATGCTTTGCAGGAGGTTTGTTTTTTGTGTGGTCGATTTTCTATAAAATGTATATTTGTGTAAATAGCTTACTATTTGATTACCATTAGTATTTTCTATATTATTTACTATCAGACAGGGACTTTGAGTTCTTACATGTAAGGAAGCTATCCAGCTAGCTTATGAAATGCCGGTGATTCTACTCAGGTGCCTATTTGTGCCTGATACAATTAGCAAAAGGGCACCTGAGTTCTTCCTCTTCCAGTAAGACTGGACATATACTGAGTTGGTGTGCCGTAAAACCCAAACAAACAAACAAACAAACACTTTTTACTATAAAACTTTTATATTTATGTCCATGATTTTACATTTACTCTCAGTTTTGTATTTGTTTACGTGACTATCTATAATATTTATATGTGCGAATAAGATTTTCTACATGAATATGATTCCTATATTTGTGTACATGATTTACTTTAGGATTTGCATTTGTCTATAATTATTATTTACTGTACATATTTTACCATGAAAGTGAAAGGTCATGAGATTTTACCATGAAAGTGAAAGGTCATGTAAATTATAAGGAGAATTGCTGCTATATTAACCATTTAAAATATGTAGTTACTTATATGATGTTTTAACGTTTTACACCTTAACCTGCGCTCAAACATAGTTGACAGAACCTTATGGAACTCAGTAAGAACAATCTTTGTGTGGACCATATGAAATTAATTGTTTTGGTCTGTTTAACATTATATAAAATATATTTAAACTTTCAATCGATTTTTGTGCACCCACAATTTAGATTTACCCTTGTCCGTCCGTCCTTCCGTCCGTCTGTTCACTTTTGTGTTGCACGTAACTCAAAAAGTGTTTGACCTAGAGTCATGAAACTTACAGGAATGTTGATCAGCATGTGTAGTTGTGCACCTGACTATTTTCGTCTGGATAGTATTAGTATTTTCAGAGTAATTGCCCTTGACTTAGTAAAATTTTGTATTTTTCAACTTGTGTCACATGTTTCTCAAAAAGGATTTGACATAGAGTCATGAAACTTAACAGGAATGTTGATCAGCATATGTAGTTGTGCACCTGGGTATTTTTGTCTGGATTCATTAAGTATTTTTAGAGTTATTGCCCTTGATTTAGAAAAGTTTTGCAATTTTCAACTTGTGTCGTATGATACTCGAAAAGTATTTGACATAGAGTCATTAAACCTTATGGGAAGGTTGCACATTATATTTAGTTTTGCACCTGGGGTTTTGCTTGTGGATTTATCCAGTATTTGTAGAGTTATTGCCCTTGACTTAGTAAAATTTTGCAATTTTCAACTTGTGTCGCATGTAACTCAAAAAATATTTGACCTAGAGTCATGAAACTTGACAGGAATGTTGATCAGCATGTGTTGTTGTGCACCTGAGCATTTTCGTCTGGATATTACGGGAAGGTTGTACATTATATTAAGTTTTGCACCTGGGGTTTTGCTTGTGGATTTATCCAGTATTTGTAGAGTTATTACCCTTGACTTAGTAAAAACCGTTTCATTATGTTGTACTTATGCACCTTGGGGTTTGCACGTGGATTTATTCAGTATTTGTAAAGTTCTTGTCCTTTAATTAGTAAAAGATTTTTAGTTTTCAAAAGATATTTGCTCTTGAGTCATAAGATTGACAGAACAGTGGCGCGGTGGGGGCACCCGTGCCCTATGGACACATTTCTAGTTATATTAATACCGTACATTTTACCACGAAAAATAGTATGTAATATAAACTTTCCTGTAATAATCCTCCTTAAAAATGTGTAATAATTCTCTGAAATGATAAAAACAATATGTTGTGTTTGTCATACTAAAGTTAAATTATGTTTCCCAAATTTTTTGGAAGTCATATTGTTTTTGCCAACGCCATGTGTCTGTCCGTCCGCATTAAGCTCGTCCGGCCTTCACAGGTCAGACTACTTGTGGGATTTCAACCAAACTTTACAGGAGTGATTAGTACCATCATATAGCTTTGGATAGAAAAACCTTGTCCGGCTTTCACAGTTCAAGCTACTAATGGGATTCAAATAAAACTTCACATACTGATCATACATAGTTTTGGGTGACATATGTTTTTGTGACAAAAACCCTTCTAGTTTTAATTAAACTCATTAGGAATAATTATTGGACATCGTATACGAAATAATTAAAAACAAGATTGCTGCATTAGTTAAATAATGATAAGAACATCTTCCAGTTGGCATAGCTTGTTTTACCATTTGGTAGTTTAATGAACTTTAATAGGAAATATCATTGAAGATTTATTTATAACAAATAGCTAGACTCCTTTTGTTCTGCTAAATGATGAAAAATCCGGCAAACTGAAAAGTTCTATCGTTTATACAACATTTGGTAATTAACAATTGCACAGACTTTGATATAACTAAAGAGAATACTTTTCTTTTGTTATTTTAACATAAATAAATGGTTTGAAATGGATCATGTTGTCTACCAGACCTTAAAGTACAACATTGTTTCCCAAATGATTGAAATCACTTAGAAGTTTTCGTTGAGACTAGAAACAAAAATGATTCTTGGAATGTATTGTACAAAACAGGTTATTATTTGTACTTTTGTTCAAAACAGTTAGCAAATGTATTGTACAAAAACAGTAAACAAGTGTACTGTCTGCTGAGGGAAAGTACTTTCCTCTTGAGTGGGTGACTCGGGTTGGAAATTAATTATTGAACTATTATTGTATTGTTGCTGGAGTAAAAAATGATTTTTTTTTTCCTTGACATAAGATATCCAAATTTTATTGTATTTTATTATTATCATAATTATTATGAATAAAGACATATGATTTTGTATGTTTGCATAATGATTGTTTTAAGAAATTATATGTAATAAATCAATAAATCAGTGTTGACACAATGTTATTTATTATTCCACTGTTTACACCTATTTTCCATATATTTATGTCCAAATGACAGTAGTGTTTCTTAAATGTTACCAGAGCTATTTTCCTGTTCAGCACATTGAAAATGTAGTGTTTTGCTATTGTACTACATCATTGCTTTAAACAATGTACAAAATCTTGGCATATAACACAATTGTGCCTCTCTTATTTCCGTTTTAGCACTCTGAGAATAGGTTAGCAATTTGGCAATATGCAACTGGTAACATTGACTTAAAATGTTACACACTTATTAACTACTGTATTGTACATGCAAATGACACGTCGTCCGGTTCGCTCATCATCAAGTAGAATGTTTGACTGTGAATCGGGCGAGCCGGGTTCGATTCCCGGATGGTGCAAGTTGTTTTCGTTGTGATTGATCATGAAATCCTTTCTACGGGCATTCGCTCTGTACCTCTACTGTTGCATGTACAGAAGTAATCAGTTCGTTGGAATATGAAGACAATTTGTATTGGTAAACTGCTTGACAATCTGCCTAGAAAAGATGCGGTGGCTGAATTGTGCTCTAGTAAATTCAGTGTGGTTACTGCCAGGATCCGGAGTGAAAACTACCAACACTATCATCGTGCTTATAAATATGTGAGCGAGAGTTCGTATCATCTGACCATTTGTGTAAATTACTTAATGAAATGAAAAAAAAAAAAAAAAAAAAAAAAAAAAAAAAAAAACACTCATGCAAATAATTAGACTATTATAAGTTTATTGTAAATATTTAATCCATAACATTTGCATAATTTACAGTACATACATATAAAATGAATAAAGTGGAAAAAAAGAGTGAGAAATAAAAACAACGGCTTACCAAAATGATGGTCAGAGCGCTTCTGATCGTTTATTGACATTTATGACGTCAAACCTTAACACGTTTAAGTCTTTCTAAAAGTCTGACGTCATGGAATGACGTCATGAACATATTTATTACAAAACACAATTAACAATTTTATTTTTTTAATACGTAGATCTACTAGATTCTTCCCTATATTATATGTTTGAAATTATTTTTGTCCTATTTAGGATTGCAGTATTTCAAATGATTCGCAACACATTTCCTTTGGTAAATCAACAAACTGTGAAACAGTGATGGGGTGGTTGTTTTTACTCCGGATTACGGGGAAATAAGCCAAATTTAAAACAATACCCCAGTTTTAACCAAGCCCCCATCATTTCCCTGGACAGAAATTTGGGAAGCATTTTTAAATTTCCCCCGGGATAAAATGCCTTTACTTTCGGAGGAAATGAAACTTTTGTAATACCCGGGTTTGAGGTACAGTGTAAATGACCTAAAAAAATGAAATTTCCATGATTAATCCTGGGCGAAAGGATTTGCACCGTCTGGGAATCTTTGGGGGGTACCCTTTGGGTTATTTTTTAAGTATAAAGCCGAGTTTCAAAGGGCTTTGGTTTGAAACTTTATCAAAGAGGGGCTCTGTAGCTATTATTTCCGGGGAAATTTTACAACTTAAAAAATTTTCTTTTTTTCCCATAGTTTTTGAAAGAAACATCAAGACATGTAAATTTTTAAAAAAAAGAGAAAAGGGACAGTTGCTTGCATGTTTCACTGGTTTAAGGTATTTCCATCCTAATACATTACCCCCCGCTTTAAAAGGGTTTATAAAAAAAATTATTTAAATAACCCCTTATTTTGAAAAAAAAAACCCAAAAATAGCCAGATGTCCTTTTTGTTTTGAAACCTGAGTCTGAAAAAATCTTTTTTTTTTTTATTTTTCCTTTTTATTTCAACCCAACCCCGTTTAAAAGGGGGATAATTTAAACCAAAGGAAAAAAATTTTTTAAAAAAAGGGCTGATTAAAATAAGAAAACAAAAACAATTTGGCTAAATGTTTTTGGGGTAACAATAAGGGGTTTTCCCTGGTTTTACATCTAAATTGGGGAGTATCGCCCTGATCATTTAACTCCTTTTAAAATTATTTCCAAATGCCAAATATGTCAATGCTAAAGAAAATATGTTTTTAAATTTTAATTTTTAAAGCATCCCAAATGTTTGGGGTTATTTTTAGTACATTCACACTAAAAGCAAAGTTGGTATATATAATTTAAAACTCGCCCTCAGAAGTGGTTTAAAAAAAAAAATATCTTATTAATCTTTTATTAAATTAGGTATTTTTCATTTGGGGTTTCATTTTTATTTTAAAATTTTTTCTATCCTTTTTTAAACTAAAAGATTTAGTACGGTGGAAAAAAGGTGGCACTGTGTGTGTTTTTTTTTTTTATTTTCGTGGCCCCCCGAGATTTCTATGTCGTGGGGCCCCGGGGTTTACAAAGTCCCCGTGGGCCCAGATAGCAAATATGACCACGAATATAAAGGGCGTGGCCAAAGAGTTACTAAGGCGTGCCCCAAAAAAAACTAAGTCGGGGCCAAAAAGCTAGCTAAATTCTTGACCACGAATAGGACGTGGTTAAAACCACGAGATTTCTAGCTTTGGGGAAAGAGATAGCCCAAGTCGTTTGGGGAAGAGATTTAATTAAAAATAATTTTAAAAAAATACATATATTTTTATGAATTTTTAAAAATTAACAACTTTTAAATTTCATCAACATTTACTCTTTGAAAAAAACTGAAGATATTAAATTTGAAAATTTTCAAACAAAATCACTTTTCCAAGGGCCCATCAAACCTTTAAATTTTTACCCCAAAAGCTCCCCTTTTTTGGGGCAAAATTTTTTGTCGAATTAGTAAATTTGTAAAAACGACTTTCGCCCTGTCAACCCCTTTTTCGTACAATAAATGAAAGGAATTTAAATCCTGGTTTAAATTTTAAATTTGGGAAGGAAAAAATTTCCCCATGGGCAGTAGATAAAATGTTATGTAAAACCTTGTCTGATGAATAATTAAAAAAAAGATAAGCCAAAGGTTTTTAAATCCCCGGAAAAAATCATTGCACCTGATCAGTAGATGACATCTAATAATTTCGAGGTCATTGGGTCAAAAATCAGGGTCACAGTGACGCTAGTTGTAAAATTATTGATCAGTCAATAAAGTTGTATAAATGGCACTTTGACAGGCTGGTGAAGTAGGGGCATCCTAGTTCTATAGCACATGTCTAGTTAATTAGGGAAATTCATATAAATGGTGTAATCTGATTGGTCATTTATCTCGTGGCCACGACTTAGTAACTCGTGGCCAAGACATAGTATCTCGTGGCCGTGACTTACCTATCTCGTGACCACGACTTAGTAACTCGTGGCCACGACTTAGTAACTCGTGGCCACGACTTAGTAACTCGTGACCACGACTTAGTAACTCGTGGACACGACTTAGCTATCTCGTGACCACGACTTAGTAACTCGTGGCCACGACATAGTATCTCGTGGCCACAACTTAGCTATCTCGTGGCCACGACTTAGTTACTCGTGGCCGCGACATAGTATCTCGTGGCCCCGAGATAAATAAAAACACATACATGTCACCTTTGTGCCACCGTAGATGAGACTATGTTTAATGAAGAATATATATCATTGTTTGCTGTAGGTTGGAATTTATTTCTATAGTCAATAAAATAAGACAGTAGAAATAACATTTCACATATATTGATATATCTTTAAGTCAAATAAACATAAAGTTGCCTATGGTTTGGGACGATAGATTTGGGCAATGGTTTTGAATGAATATACGATGAAAGAATGTTACTACCTTAGAAAAAAATATAATGACTTATAACTACAAGGTAAAATATAAAAAAAGAATTGCATATGGTCAACTCCCTAAAATTTTGCTACACGGTGTCAAGTTGCTGACAATACTTAATTTTGCATATATATGTTCAGTTTTCATTGATTCTGATTCTGCAGGAAAGATGATTGTAATAAATTTGACTTTTTATTATCATTATTTGGGTTTTGATAAGGTTAATTTGCATTATAACATTGATTATTTTAATAACTCAATCTGCAGAAAGAGTGATTTCTTAAGAAATTATTCATATCATATTTTTTACATTATGTACGTCATTCCGTGGCTCTGTAGAAAGGCCGAACATTTTTGTTTTCGGAGTCCTTAATAGAATCCGTATACAGTAGGATGTTATAGATTAATTAATATCTTAAGATAATTCAAACCATACCTCCATAAAAACTTTCATTACAGGGATTCCAGACTGAAACAACGATAGATCAATTCGTATACACATTATCAAAATAAGTAACATATATTCGAATACATGGAAACATCCTCAGCATACCTAAAGAATCAATTATCAGCTACGAAAGTGTCAATCGATCTATGCCCGATTTGAAATTTTGTTTTTTGCTTTTCATATGCCCTTGCGTATTTGGCGTATCGGTAGGTACGCCACTGGGCCAAGCAACAAGTAGATAGGGCGGAGTCTGGCGCTTAAAACAAAATCAATACCATATTTGGACTGAAACTGTCGCAAAGGAAATATGATATGTTTTTGGCAACATGGCTCTGTGGAGAATTTACCCAGTTCAACAGCGATATATATATATTTTTTTAGTGAAGTCATGTACGTACACGTGGAAGATGAAAAAATAAATGATAAATCTTTAAAAAAAAAATACCCTAAACACAGATTTAACATTTGACGCGTAAAAATAAAAGCAAAAGTGTTAAATTATTGCACTGCTGAGTAACGATGAAGTCTAGTTATTATAAAGCAAGACGATTAGAACATGACCTTTGACCTAGCCGCCCGGTTCTATTCGGTTTGCATATATTGCACAATAAGTGGGTTTTGGCGGGGAACGGTTAGATATAATGTATCTCGATCTTTGTATACTTTACAAAAACAACAAAACAAAAAAACAATATTCCCTTCAAAAACCATAAAGGACCGGAAAAGCATGGGAATAAAGATCAACAAGGTGACATTCATATAAAACTGCCCCCAACACAACCAGCCACAATCGCAGTTTATTCAGAAGGCACCAAACTAAAACATGGGAAATGACACAAGGACGGAAACCAGTTTTAGCA